CCTGGCCCGGCCTGAGGTGCCCCCCCCCCCGCCTGGGCCGACATCAAGCTTTCCAGAGACCAGCCTGGCCGAATCCTGCTCCCAGCGTGCCAGAGGAACGCCGCTGAAGCCGATGGAGCTGTTCTAGCCGGGCTCTGGAGGCTGAATCATACGTCCAGACCTGGTTCAGAAGTAAATTGGCATCAATTCAAAGCAGAAGGCAGGGTAGATTTGCGCCTTATAGACCAACTGAAGTCTGTATATATGTCACACACACGCACACAAGCTCCCAAGAGACATCTCGGGAGATGCCAACAAGGGGAGGCAGGAGCAGACTTCCTCAGTATTTCTAAGGAACAAGGCAGGCAGGAAACCCCCTCTCGAGCCAGGAGGGAGACCGGCATTTTACACGGGCTTCAAAACGCACAGAGCAGCAAGAAAAGGCTCTCTCCTTCACAGGGCTTCGTGCCGAGGCCAAGCAGGACACACACTCCGAGTCCCCAGGAGCCGGTACTGACCTGGCAGGGATTCCCTCGGCTCCGAGCTGGGCTGGAACGAAGCCCAGAGCGGGGCAACCCTTTCCACGTGCTGCGGGGTTTTGCGATGAAACCCTCCCCGGCCTGGCTGCGTGAGCTACTCCAAGCAGGGCAGCTTGAGCCTCCCTCAGCTTGGGCAGCGGGACCGGAGCGCTAAACCCCAGGCAACAACTTTGCAGGCAATTAAACAGAATGATAACGACCTCCCTTCCCCTGCTGGGGTGCGGTTGCTCCTGCTGGGACTGTAGAGGTGACAGGACCGAACAGGTTTGGGACAGCTTGGAGGAGCAGGGGCTTCAGGTGGTGCCCGGGGGTCGTGATGACCCTGTCTGCGAGCACGTCTCCGGCCGAGAGCCGCTTCCAAAGCCAGGCTGGTGCTCAGCACCGCTGCTGCTCCTTCCTGCGGGTCTGAAACACGGCAGCATCTTTCCCTTTCTGGGGCTTGGGGAGCTGCACAAGGCGGCGCGGACGGGGCTGCGACCAGCCTGGCTGTGCTTGAAGATGTGCAAAAAAGCACGTGGTCCAGCTCAACCCAGAGCTCACAAATGAAACAGTTGCAGCCAGCCGAAGGCCTGCGAAGCCCGGTGACCCCCGATTCTTGCCTTGGCAGACATGGAGCTGACGTCTTCTGCCCAGCATGCCGCTACATTCAAGGAAAATCCTGGCTGTGGGGAACGGGTGGGAAAAGCAGGCTGAACCCAAGCCCAAAAGATGCTGCTGCAAACACCCCGGGGACTCAACCCAGAGCTGCCCTCATCACGTAACAGGGCCCAGCTTCCAGCACCGGCTCTTCCCCTATAGCAATAACTGAGCCAGGAGTGCGTAGGACCAGCCCGGCGAGAGCCCAGGAGCCCTTTTGGCGGGATCCTGCTGGCCCAACCTGCTCTTGGCCCTTCTACTGAGACAGCTGCTCTGTAGCACGGGGCTGCGTTTTCCCGAGTTAGGGACTGGGGTCTTGTTCGTGGCAGCATGACAAGGGCCTGGTGAAGCTGCCTGGGGAAACGAGCCCCCACACCGCCACAGCCATCGCACCTCCAGCCCGCGGCGGCCAGAGCAAAGCCTCCGGCCCCCTCGGTCCCTGCCCAACACAGGCTGCGCGCACTGAAGGGTGCCTCTATGCTCCCCCAGACCTTGGCTCCAGCCTTTGAATCCCTCCTTTCAGTCAGCCGCGGCAGGCAAGCACAAAGGGAAGGAAGAGAGCAGAGGATGCGGCAGCTGATAAATCAATGAGTGTTGTGTTGCCGGACGAGATATAGGCAAGGACCCAACCCCCACAGATCCTGCTCCTGCGGCAGAGAACCAAACAACCCTGACATCAGCCAGGGCATCACAGACGCCGGGCACGCACTGACATGGCAGCAGCTGATAGGAGATGCCAGCTTCTCCCCGGCCCCCGAGGCCCTGGCTGTTGGCCCCTCTGCCCCTATCAGGCAGGAGAGAGGAGTGGCTGCCCTGAGCATGACTGTTGCAAACCACAGCTGCTCTGTCTCCTGATCTCCAGTGGGGAGTCCTACCCCCCAGCCCTGGTCCCCATCTTTTCTCCTTCTGATGCAAGCTGCATGCCGTTGCTGCCAGCTGTTAAACAGCTGCCATGCTCTGCACCAGAGGCAGCTGCCTTCCAACAGCAGGTCAGAGGGCAAGGTTCTTTGGGGTCTTTCTGGATGGATCAGAAGGGCTGGAGCATCTGGGGCTGGGCCTGGTGTTCACTGTGCTTGTACACGTCCCAGCACACGGCTTGGGGCTTTTGGACTATCCGATGCATCCAACCTGGGCAAGCACAGCTGTGCCACGCTCGGCTAGCCCTGCTGGAAGGGGACTTTCACTGAACGACACCCGCCCCATACAGCCAGCCCACCAGGAAGCCACAGGGTGCTGCCCTGCAACACGCAGGGGATCTAGGAGAAACCTGGCCTCTCTCCAGACTTGCTCACAGTACCCGAAGCAAACCTGGCAGCTGCTAGTACCACTGCTGCTGCCCCCAGCTCAGAGGGCAACGGACAGTGGTGGGTGCTCGCAGGGAAGGCGAGGAGCTTTGATGCCCGCTAGGGCTTTGCTGGTCCTCCAGCTTGCTCTGTCTCCCTCTCCACTCCTGTAGAGCACTGCCCAGTGCCTGCTGTCTCCCCGCATGCAGCAACACAGCAGGACACGGGGAAGCAGGGCTGAGAGCGCCCGCCAACCCCTGCTGATGACAGCTTACGTGAAGATGATGGGCTGCTTGCTCCTGAGCCCCTCCAAGAAAGCAAGACTTTCCCCTATTAACGTCCCGCACACACACTAGACAGACAGGCTGCTGCTCTGCATGGACCGGACTCGGTCCCACTCGAGCGTAAGACATCGGCCTCGCGCTGCCACCAACTGAGAAAGCCGCTGTTGGCTCGGGTGGTCGGAGCCTGTGGTTCTGCAGCAGGAGGCTCTGCCCCGTCTCCCTGCTCTGCCCCTCTCAGCGCAGGGTTGTATCCTGACAATTGAGCTCCCATGCTCAATAGTGACTGATGCCCCTTTCCTCCAAGAACATGTCCAATCCCTTGGTGATTTGAACTTTCTCCCACTCAAATTAGAGCCAGGCTCTTCCCAGAGGTTGACTTGGCTCCAAACCTCGTGTGAGCGATGCTGGCTCTTGGGGCTGGAGCAAGAGTCTGGCCGTGCCTGGTGCATTTCCTAAAGCCCCTGCTCCTGGAGTCAACTGATTAATGAAAGCAAGAGAGCCTCAGGAAGAGAGGAGGAGGAGTCTGAAGCCTTGGGAATATGAGCCAAGCGCAGCCAAAAGGTGGAGGAAGCAGGAGAGAGAAATGACCCTGCAGTTATAATGCACCCCGATGCTTTGGCCTTTGTTCACGTGGGAAGTCGGCCCACTGCTGTCACCCCTGCTCCATCTACCTAAGCCGGGTGGCACAGTGTGGGGACTCCGGGCTTCACGGGTTTCCAAGGGCGGCTGCTGTGGCATTTGCAGGGCAGACACGTAGAGCGGCCCTTGGATGCTGCAGGCTCCTGCCACTGCCTTGGCACCAGCCCTCAGCCAAAGCCTCCCTTGTGGGAAGGCAGATCTCCAGGAAACGCTCTCCGGGGAGCTGGAGCCCTTGCCCTCTGACCCCCACGACA